TAATAGGCTTAAAGTGTTTGAGCCATATTCCAAACACTATCAGTTGGTTCAAAGCGGCTACCTATACTTGATTGGCCATAGTAGCCATTTAACTGCAGAGTTTTATATGGATTCTGCAAGTAGCATGCAATCATCTGTCTCTGTATGCCATCTCAACTCATCTTCAATGACTAGATTCTGGTGTTTTCGGCCATTAAAACGTGCATATGGGAAGCTAGTTGAGGGAATGATGATCGCTGACAATAGCCATATTGACAAGATGGTTTTTTATCTCTCTATCCATTTGCACGCGAGGTCTTTACCGAAGAGAATATCTATGGTGGCTTTGCTGGAGCAGGGGTCAAAAACCATTAGATAAAGGAAAGTGTTCTTTCAGAAATAACCTTCCAACTGCGTGCGCCAACACCACCACTTCTGATTGAAGGGGCAATATCATCTGCATTTAGACCCCTCAACATACTCGCCAACTTAATCATAAGATCCACGGTCTACAGAGAAGTCTTAATAAGGAAAGATGGCTGTCGGGCAGCCCTAATATCTCACCTTCAGCATCTTGAGAAATCTGCGCAGATGGCAATGAATATGATGAATTCTACCTCTTAACCAAGGAATCAAGGCTCTACGAGCAGAGAATCTGGTGGAAGATGATGAAACACGCAAGCATGGTAATCTAGGTCAAGATACTATGATATCTATACAAGAAAGTCAGAAGCTGTTCAATAGCTTGATATAGTGGTTGAAGCACAATTTGAAGCAGATAGTCAACGGCCACGCCAGCAAGCTCCACCACGCTGTAGTAGCTGTGGACTATTTGACATATCATACGCAGTTACCCTAGTAAAAATAACTACATGTTCAATTATTAGGTCGAATATTTGATAGTTGCGGGGAAAACGCGCCGCTCGCCCGTGGTGTACGTTACATGCTATTGATAATAATTGAACTGACTTTGTTTTTTATTATAAACACTATTTCACTAAGATAGAATTAATTGTCTGGTCAAGGGATATAATAGCTGAATAGAGTGAGGGGTCAATGATTTATCTTAGAATTTTAGTAGGTTTGGAGGGAAATGTGCAACGTACTAAGAGTGAAATTTAATCTATTGATAGTAGGCTATCTACGGACAGATAAATAAAAAATACAATATACCTACATACATTTATAGGTTACCATTAGAATAGCCAATTAAAAAGGATTCTTATCATAATATTTTACTTATTTTACGGGGAATCTATAGAGGTCTCTCCTTGCCATAAATAGCGGAGATATATATATATACTTAGTAGAGGCTCTATCAATTGCAAAGACAGAGAACTGAGTACAGGAGATAATATAGCTTGGATATATGTGTGTATTAATACTATAAATCACACACTTTTGAGAGATAGATCTGAATATTAGATAAAATGAGAATGATTTAATAAAGAACCGAGGTATAGAATTCTTTAAGAAGCTTGGGCCATCAGTGAGCCGACTCCTCAATCCTTATATAAGAGGGTGATGCATTTTGCATTAATTCACTAAACCTATTATTGATATCTAGGATAAGCAAGAAGTAGAGAAGATCATTGCCTTATAGTTGAGTTAACTAGACAAGCTATAATAAAAATCTATACTGGATCTCACTCTCACCCGCAAATAATCAAACAAGACAAACGGTACTATATTAAGATAAATAATCATTTTTATGCTTTTCATGCATACAAATCAGGTAAAATGTGGAAATTTTATGAGGATCGGGCGGCGGGTCACGGCGAAGTCTAATTTAAACTGGTATCAGGCTCAGGATTCCAAGAATAACCTAGTAAAGCCCCAGATTTCTATATGAAAAAATCTAAAGGCATCAGGTTCTTCTCATTAATTACTAGAGTGACTGCAGCCGAGAAGTTTCTTAATGGCCACTTAAATGATGACTACCTGGTAAATATCCAATGGCTGAGGGAGGCCATTTATGTAAAGGGGGAGAGAGTAATATCACAGAATATATAGGTATATTAATTAGAGTACTTTAAGCCTGGCACCGGCAGAAGCCCTGCTGGAGGCCCGAAAATTGAGTTATACCACCCGGCTGCTTGGTCTACCAGGAGATCACCCAGCGAAGACCCTCCCAAGTGAGCTTCCGAGAAGGGGACCAGCATGCCCAGCCTAGGGAGCAGACCCAGGGTACCGGAAATGGACGGAGAACAGCAACCGAGGCCCATGGTCCCTGGGACAACACTTAGCTCAACAGTTAGCAAACATCCTACCAGCAGACCCATTCGAGGGCTTTGAAAGCACGATACAGACAACCAATAGTTAGTTCCCAGACCGAATAGAAGTGCTACCAGGTCCAAAAGCCCTAGCAGCCGCGCAATCTCTCTTTCCTAGAATAGCAACCTAGTCAGACGGCTCAAGATTAGAAAACGGCAGGCAAGAGCCAGGAGGGGCTTGAAGACCCGAGGATTTCCACTGGGCAAGAAATATGATGTCAGCTTCTTGGGATTGTTCGAGTACTCCAGATGGCAAGGAAAGCAGAAGACCAACGACCAGCCACTATCTTGCTAGACTCCCAAGCCGCCATTGCAAGGTTGCGGCACACCCAGCCAGGGCCAGGTCAAGCATTAGCAATCCAAGCACATGCTATGACCAAGAGACTACATACTCAAGTGTCACCAACCCACTATCCGGCGGGTTCCGGGACACGCAGGAGTAGAAGGAAATGAGAGTGCCGATCAAGCAGCAAAGCAAGCGGCCGATAAGCCTCTAGGAAGGGGCCCAAAAGAGATCTCTCTTGCCTTTGCCTGTAGAGCATAGACGGAGATCATTACAGCACAGAAATAGAGGTGGTTTGCCAGGAAACTCAGTCAAAAACTGGCGGCTCGACCCCTTGGTCGCAGTGACTCCGAGACACCTGGCAAGCCGTTACTTTCAACTGAAGTCCAGACATGTAGCCATTGGAACATTTTTACATCAGATTCAGACTCAAAAATGTAACCTGCCAAGGATGTGATTCTTTTAAAGAGACATTACACCATGTTTCCTTTGAGTGCAGGCAATGGCGACACCAGCGAAGTCTGCTCTATAAGGACCTGGAGACAGATAGGATGGGACCCACTACTGCAGAAGGATATTCACAAGGACGATTCCTAAGGGAGTCCAAGGCAACTAGGGCACTGCTACAATTCTTAGCCAACACCAGGGTAGCCCTACCTCAGGAACTTATAGGAACAAGAGACTACAAAATAGCTGCTGGCCTCGTCAAGTCCATGAATCGTGGTCTGTCATAGCTCTAAGGCTCGGTATGAACAATAAATTTGATTAAATAATAATATTATCATTAGTACTGAAATGCTACTTAAAGATGATAGACTTAGTTTCTCTATGGAGGAATTATAATGAATTAATATATTATAATCATCAGGCTCTTGGATACTTTATAACCATCAAGAAATTAAATGTATGATCATTTATTTTTCTAATTTTACCTTTATCACCAAATACTATTCAGTGTTGAAAAATACTGTAGCAACTTCAAACAATTATACATAGATAATAACAGGAATTCTGAATAGTTTGTCGACTTTAAATGGCTTGTTAACATTAATTAATAAAAAAAATAAATAAAAAAAAACTGATTCTATTACTGAAGGAAATCATTTCTATAGGGTCCAACAGACAAGGAAGTGATGGAAACAGGTGACAGAGATTTTAAATCGTGGTAGTAGTCCAAGTAGGGATGGAGTTGTTGGTAGTTTGCTCTGTATATTTTGATACCACGATATTCTATATGGTAAACGTTAGGCTTTGTGGATATTTTGCGATTTAGATATTGAGGCTATTAATAAGGAATATAGCGATGCGCCGCTCGCTCATGGAATACGTTAAATATTATACATCAGCTTATACCTAATTTCACCATATTCACACGTTTAACTCTTAGGATAATGACTCTTTTAAATTAGACTTTCATACTAACTTCATTTAAGACTATAATATTCGATTAACCAATCCTTTAAGATCTTAGGCTCTAATAATGCCTTCTTATGAAGTAGTTTATGTTTATATTGATAATGATCTTTTAAGTAAAAAAATTTTTTTTAAAAAAAAAAATTACATGCAGTATTTACCTCGTCTATAAACTTAATTTTAGATATGATTTTTAAGTAACAGTTCTGATCTGTTTTTATCCTAGTGATTGTAGTAATTTATCTTTACGGTAATTTGCAAATAAATTTTGGATCATCAACTCTTTTACCATCGTGATATTAAAGTTTTATTAAAAAGTTTTAATATAATTTATATTTTGTATTAATTCTTCCTAGAAACTCCTGTTTCCGTAATAAAATAAGAAAATCCTAATAAGTAAAGAAACTCATATATATTTCTATAAATTACAAAACTGAGTTTGCGATAATGAATAATTTAACATGCACTTGGGAATTCTAATAGTATTTATAACATAAGTCTGCAGGTTGAAGGGATAAAATAGTGTGTACAAGAGTTCCTGGCACCAAGATGTTGCGGGATGTAAAGATTTTATAGTCTGGCAATAAATTGAGCCTGGAAACATAGTGGGAAAGTGCATCATGAAGTGGATAACTCAAAGGAGTGAGGGAATTGATAATCTGGCTACATGGGGTTATAGGAATAAGAGAATTTCAATACAACAAGATGATATTGACTGTCTAACTATACTGATAATAATAGAACAAGTGCCTGGCCAACCCTAGTAACATATGGCTATTAGCTATAGTGGCACCTCCTGAAGAGATTATTGGCCAACTATTAATTCTCGTTACATCGCAGATATTGATCACATGACCTGACACCAACTCAGCCAGCCAGTCAGAATATATGTAATTGTGTATAAGGAAAAAAATAAAATAAAAAGCTATGATTGTAATCCAAGTCTCCTAGTTAACTTGAATGCAATTTAAGGTAGGATGGAGCTGCAGAATCCGAGTTGCAACTTTACACCCATTTCTATACCTTTTGAGAGTCACAAGAATTCCTTGTTTCTCCAGTACTCTATACATTTATATATTTCTTAACATATACTGTATAATGAGCTCTTGACCCAATCCAATTAATCAGATAAAAGAGACGCATATAAAAAAGTACACCTTAATTTGATAGGCCAGGTAACTGGGGGATTAGACTCACCCCCAATGAACCAGAGTTATACTAGAGCCTTTAATACGCCCAAAACCACAGCCTCGCCCTATTGTCTAGACTATATATGTATCTGGTCGGCCAGATATATTGCAATACCCTTCGCAGCCGAATTCGCGCCGGCCGGCTCAAATGTTTCCTATAACAATTAAATTTTCTTCTTCCACTTCTTCTTAAACCAGATTGTAGTGATAACCAGCACCGATACATCGAACTTCAGTCGATCCTGCTTTTTGTCTTCATTTCTGTCCCGATAAGCCTCTTTTTCTCAGCGATTTCGTCAATCAACGGATTGCTTCGTAACGCCTGTTTTGCTGCCTCATCCCCAGCTATTGCTTTGTTACGGCCTTGACCGGAACCTAGATGCTTTCTATTCCATCCCCAACCAGTAAAATACACGCCGATAAAAAAGGTTTGCATACCTCCTTTTGACGTGACCGGTGGAAGTTCATCAATATATTCGAGCTTGACTCCTTTAGCCATGACCTTCTTTGAAAGGGCCTCTTTCGCTTGCAGGACCGATTTTTGAATTCCGAGTTCCGTAAGCTTTGGTAACCATAACTTCGTCAACCATGATTCAACCAGTTTGAAACCCCCTTCCTGGTTAGACAGTATGACAGCAGCCACATAAGCCTCGAAAATATCGCCTTTAGTCTTGGTCCATCGTTTCGGCTGATTTAGATAGCCCTGGGGCACAGAGGCTCTGCGATCAAACCCGTATCTTGTTGCATATTCAGAAAGAGTTTCATTCTTCACCAAGAGTTCCCTGATTTGTGAAATGCGACCAGATGGGATATCCTGAAACTTGTCCCATACTAACTTGGTAGCAATCAATTCAATGTATGCATCTCCAAGAATCTCAAGTCTGTCGTAGGTCGTATTGTTGTTGTTGTTCAAGCCAGGGTGTGTGAAGACGGCCTTTTGAAGGCCCTCATCTAAAATGAGCGGCAAGACTGGTAAGCCGTTTTCGCCTTCCAAGATGTCAGATGCATCACGTTCCCGGTGCATATAGTCAATATCGTAGTCAACTGCATGTGCAGATGCATTTGGAGAAGTTCTTGCAATTTTGAGTGCCTTAGCCAGTTCAGCAGCAGCTTTCACTACCCCCGAACCGGCTGCAGAGTTATGATTCTGTGTGGAATGGGGACTGTCTATAATTTCCCCGAGTAGCTTTTCCAATGTGTTGAAGGGGAACCGTGTATCATTATTTCCAAATGGAAAATGATCTAATAGAACATCAGATCCAATTTTTTGATGAGAGGTCTTGACATTTAAAAGTTAGTGAGTGCGCAGGAAATGTTGGGCAGTATGATATTCAAAATTGCCTCATCATTCTTTTTTTCTTTCTTTTACCTTGATCTTTTTTTCTTGGCTGCTTGTAGGCGGCGAAAAGATTGATTTTCTTTTGATATCCATGAGGCAGACAGTGCACATAGTAATAAAGTTGTCATTACTGTGCAAAAAAAAAAAAAAAAAGATTTTCACGAAATCAATCACGTGATCTATTTCCATATCTGCTCCGTACTCTTCCCTTTTCGCTCCATGGTCTTATACACTAGCATCCAATCATGCAAATACCGCGTCATCGAATATTAGATCTTGTTAAGGTATGCTGGACCAGTATCTCAGTTTTCCTGCTTCCCCCTTTTTTTGTCGTAGAAATGCCTCTAACTATTATTAGACACAATGTCGCATATTTTCCCAGAGTTTTAATCCCGAGAGACTTCGCTTAGGAAACAAGATCCTGAGGCAAAGATTGCGAGGACCGGCACTTGCAGCATGGTATCCCAGGAAGACGGTCTCTTTTCGAGATCTGCAGGATACGTATCGGCCACTTGGTTTAACCATATTTGATGAGGCCGAGGACGATAGAGAAGAAGCCATTCAGATGTATGCTCTCCTCCATAGCCTCATTATCCTCAATGCTCATTGTACTCTCCAGTGCGAAATCTCGAGGAAAAGGCAGACCAAAGAAAAAGAGAACGGCGGCAGGTAAGTCTTATTACTGCATAATACATATACACGTCTTTTCCTTTCTTTGGCGCTAGCCCTAATACATACTAACCTGTGCATATAGAGTCCCGAACAGCAAAGAAGAAGAAGTAGCATGTCTCCCATATATCTCTTTCAACTGCATCTATAAAGTCTGGCTTAGCTATGATCTCCAAAATTTAGTAACTCGAGATAACTATGCAATGCAGAATACTCCGTAGAATAACTAGTACTTGCTATTTAATACTGGATATGGGACGTGCGCTTAATCACGTGTCCAATACCCCGTTGAATACCCCCGGAGTGGAGAGTACCTTAATACCTATATCACGTGATAAAGCGGTGACTTCTTATCTCCACCTGTGTCAATATTAACGAAGTTTGAGCATTATTTCCACTGCACATCCTGGGCTAGCAAAGAAAATATCAATTACAATGAAGCTAAGCAAGAACCAACTAAGGCGAGCGAAGAAGAAGGCTCAAAAAAATGATGTAAGTTTATGCGCGATTATCTTTACAACAAGTTGAGAAAGCTAACTTTTCTAGACTACACATGAAAATCAAGACTCACTTGCTACTGGAGCTCAGCCGGAAGAGAAATCATCAGCAGTGAGCATTGATGATAGCAGTACCTTGCGCGAGTCAACATTATCGCCCGATCTTGGTGATCCTTTGTGGCAGATTTATCAAGGTATCGCCCATAGGTTTGACGAAGCCGAAAGCGACACATTGCCTGCCAAGGAACACGAAAAACCTGAGGTATATTTCGATGATGACAATGAGATACCGGACGAAGATGAGGGCGAGCCAAAGTTGTCAAAGAGGAAGCGCAAAGAAATGAATAAGCTCTCAGTAGCTGAGTTAAAGGCAATGGTTCGAAAACCAGAGATAGTCGAATGGACAGATACATCAGCTCCCGACCCCCGCCTTCTCGTTCACATAAAGGCTCATCGGAATGTCGTTCCCGTGCCTTCTCACTGGTCCTTGAAACGCGAATATCTTTCATCAAAAAGGGGAGTTGAGAAGCCGCCATTTTCGCTGCCCAAGTTCATTCAGGAGACAGGAATTTCAGAGATGCGCGACGCCGCTTTAGAAAAACAAGAACAATCGACTCTGAAGCAAAAAACAAGGGAAAGAGTACAGCCCAAGATTGGAAGGTTGGATATCGATTATCAAAAGTTATATGAAGCTTTCTTCCGATTTCAGACAAAGCCCGAACTCACTCGCTATGGTGAAGTCTACTATGAAGGCAAAGAATACGAAACAAACCTTAGACACTTGCGCCCAGGTGAACTGAGTCAGGAATTGAAAGAGGCACTCAACATGCCACCAGGTGCCCCGCCCCCCTGGTTAATCAACCAACAGCGATATGGACCACCGCCATCATATCCTGCCCTCAAAATTCCAGGCCTTAATGCTCCACCACCTCCTGGCGCTATGTGGGGTTACCACCCTGGAGGATATGGAAAACCCCCAGTCGATGAGCATAACAGGCCTCTTTATGGTGGCGACATATTTGGTGTTCTTCAACCCCAGCAAAATATGCAGCAAGGTGAACCTGTCGAGAGAGAATTGTGGGGCGAACTACAGGCACCAGAAGAATCAGACGAGGCGAGCGAAGATGAAGAACAGGAAGACGATGACGACGAAGAAGAAAGTGAGGACGAGACTGCAGAACAGCTCATGGATACCGGATTACAAACACCTAGTGGACTTGAAACACCGGGCGGTGTGGCCTCAGTTGTCCCATCCGAGTTTTCAGGAACCGAGAATGCAACTGGTGAGTTTGACGTGCGTAAACATCACCGTGGAACGCGAACAGAAGAATCTACGCAACCGAGAAGTGCTTTCCAGGTTATTCCAGAGAGACAAACTCACGTACAGGGATTTTTTGGGGGCGACAAAGTATACAACTTGAACGTCGCCTCGGATGATCTTCCTGTGCTTGGAGCTGAGGAACATAACCGGAAGCGTAAGAAACCTGGTGACGTCGATGTGTCCATGGATCCAGATTCACTGCAGGCCAGTGATGGAATAAGCAGAGAAGACCTGCAGAGTTTATACGAATCCCAGAGACAGCAAGGGCATCACCCTGGTTGGGAATTCCAAGAGGATCTAAGTGACATGATTGCGCAGGAAAGTCGGAAAAGGCTTAGGAAAGAGGAGGAAAGACGAGTCAAGCACTGAGAATTAGGTATTCGTCCCTCGCTGTTTTCGCCCTCTGTTTATTCTGTCGTTACTATCTATCCCCTTCTGGACTTTGCTTTCAGCTTTTAGTACGGAATCAATGGTATGGAAACAAGTTGTATGCGCAAAATGCAAGAGAATAATAATACGTCTGATTTGGTGGTTCTGTTAAGGCGGTCTGGAATTTTAAGGCTGAATAATCTTTCGGTAGTAGGTCAGTTAACTAATTGCGTACTCCTTTCAATATTCGTAGCCATCAGCTCAATATGGATTGGGATCGCAATAGAAGGTATTTTTTTTCCGTCCAATATAAAAGCTCTAGTTGCGGTTAATGACATGTACAGCACCAGATTTGATGATCGTCGCGGGGGAGAAAGTTATCGTCCCATCAACTCGATTAGAACACGCCGCTCTCCTCCACGAAACTACATCCGGCACGCCAGATCTCCTCCACGGACGCATTCTCCTCGCCTTGTTGCTGATACATGGGTACCATCGGCTAGTCGAACTTATGACCGCTTCCGAAGCCGATCCCCGGCTTTGCGACGTCGTTCTCGGAGTCCTTCATTCTACAGTAGAGATGGCGGCCCGGCGTCCTATCGGAGGACGCGTTCCCCTCCTAGAAGACCATCACCTCGACGAGATGAAAGACCAAGGTCTCCACGGCACGTGTTCTGGCGCTCTAGGTCTCCGTTCAACGATGGTAGATCTCGTGATACTTCATGGGATCGGACTACTTCATTACGGCCGCGGGAGGCGTCGCCGCCCAGTCAAGACTTTAGATTCCCCAAAAGAGAACGTTTTACCAGTGAAAAATATTCGAGAGCCGACTCGCCTCCAAAACGCGGCGCTTTACGAGAATACAGTTCACGTGCCTCAATAAATTTTCGCACTCGAAGCCCTTTCCAAGGACACCGTGAACGTCAACAAGAAATAACCCCAAAACGTCGGTCGACATCTCCTTTGAGAGAGGCGTCGTTTACCCGTTATACTGCGCCGACCTCGGTTATAAATCCGAGGCGTCCCTCGTCACCTACTGATAAATCCAACTCAACCCCGTTCGACCCAGAGACCCGATCACCTATCACACAATACTCTTCAAATGAACGCTTTTCTAGGCATTCCGGTCATTCATCTCCTAACCATGAGCGTACATTCCCAACAAGATATAGGTCCTCAGGTCATAACGAGATACATCATAGATTCTTGAACGAAGAGCGGTCCAATTCACCGTTAGCAAAAGGACAAGGAGAAAATCGTGATATGTCGCGGCCTGCGACCAACCAGCACATGGATTCTAATCTTACGAATAATGCACATGCACATGCAACTGGCACTATTCCAACTCAACCGAAGGCCTATAGCACCCCAATGGGTCAAGTACCGCCATCAGGGCCTTCCTATGGATCCAAGTCATTGGTGTCACAAAATCGAAGTCCGAATATTTCTTTGCTTGCCGCCCCAACTCGTCCTCGTGGGGGATCAAACGTTAGAGATACTATCTGGCCAGGGGCTCCGCCCCGTCGTGGAACTATGGCTGCTGTTGCACAGGGTCAAGGTCCTCCTTCAGGCCCACGTGGTAACAATTTCACATCCACGGGTCCGGTCACGGAGCATACATTTCATCGACAAAGCAGTGCCACCAATACTGGCTATTCTCGCAATCAAAAGTTAACGAGTCATCTTGCGGGCATGTGTCCAATCATACCTGGGGGTAAACTTTTCCCATCATGTTTTGACCCTGCAGTTGAAAAGCGCATCTTGCACCTAAACGCTGATAAGGCAAGATTGTTCGACCAAGTCACGCAAAAGCAGGCGTCAAAGAGGACCGGTATGAAAGATTGGGATAGATTAGACAGAGAAAGCTCCATTAGCACTCTGAAAAGTGAACTTGCTGAGGGACATCTGCAACGTATCACTGGCGGTGAAAGTTTACAGATTGGAACAATATTTTGAGCATGTTCCTCACAACTCCTAATGTCCTGTACAGCAGGCCACTCATAGCTAGGATTGATATATTTAATTAGCCTTAATGCCTAATGAGATTATATTTTATAGTCCCCATCCAATAATCTATCTCCCTCTCCTTTTATTCTTAGTTTACTATATATTATATGTTATATGTAGAGAGTTCTATGGGGGGAACCGAAATATGTAACTGCTTGTAAACTATGCGGATGCAGCCACGCGTGATGTGGGGCGTACCTTGTCGCGTAGTTTGAGGCTTCGTGTCATCAATCTCGCAACAGACATCGATTCTGCCTCACGCTGGCCAGGCTAATTCAACGACGTCAATAGTAGCCAGTGGCCGCTAGCCCTTGGTTTTCATAGACATTCCTATTTAGATTCCTTGAAAAACTATTTCTTTGCACCAAAACTGTTTTCATTCATCCCTCGATCCTATACACTATACACCCCCCAGCCCATTCACAATGAATATTTTCAGGCTATTAGGTGTGTTTTGTTCTCTGTAACTCTTTTCAATATGTTTCAGTGTGAAATACTAATGGATGCCAAATGGATTAGCTGATTTTTCCCATCTCTCTTCAATCTTCATCCTTTTACAGAAGATGAAGACTTCAAGTGTATGCATGGTTTGGCTGCTATCTCTGCGCATGGTACTGACCAAAACATAGAGCTGCTCTGGATTGTCATTCAAATCACAAGTGCTATATTTGATAGTATTCATCACTCGCTACCTTGGTAAGCCGGAACTCAAAGATATGTCTTTTGAAGTGATCTAACAGAACAATGCAACGGCTAGATCTATTTTGGAATTTCACGCAATCGCTTTACAATACCACCTTTAAGATCATGTTCATAGCTTCTTCGGCATACATCATTTACCTCATGCTTAACGACTACAAACCAACTCATGACCCCAATCTCGATACATTCAAAGTTCATTATCTTCTCGGGTTCAGCGCTTTGTTTGCCCTGCTCTTTTCACATAACTACAGGGTCTCTGAGGTCAGTATTCCGAACTTGTATGATACAATACATATTGACACCTTTTTGAGATACTCTGGACCTTTTCCATCTGGCTTGAATCTGTCGCTATTCTGCCGCAGCTTTTCATGTTGCAACGAACTGGAGAAGCAGACACCATAACTACCCATTATCTCTTTGCTTTGGGCATGTATCGTGCCCTCTATATTCCTAATTGGCTATATCGTTACTTTGCAGAGAGCCACTTTGAACCCAATCCAGTTGTGGCAGGTATAATCCAGACGCTCCTGTATTCGGACTTCTTCTATATCTACTACACGAAGTAAGTCATCCGGGTCCACATATTACGATCACTGCTAAACAGATACAGAGTTATGAAAGGAAAAAAATTCTCGCTTCCTGTTTAGAACAAAGGTACTACTGTGCTGGTAGGGTCTGTACGGTTTGTGAGGAATTTAGTAGCGTGGAGTGTCGACTCGATCTTTCGACACGCATTTTTGAAAGTCATAATTTGCTCCATATGAAATTCAATTAGCTTGTTCAAATTCGTCTCGTGGCGTAGTACCTTCAGGGAAGAAATAAAATTATGCGTTTCTCTTGTGTACATTTGGGGTAGACTGCGGCAAATCCGCAAATTTGCAGATGCGGATGGCAAAATGGCATCCGCGTTTGCGAATTTGCCGCGTCAACTTACAGGTAGATATCGCCAAAATTCGCAAATGGGTCGAAACTCTCGACTAGACTGCAGCAAATCCGCAGACGCGGATGCTATTTCGCCATCCACATCCGCAAATTTGCGGATTTGCCGCAGTCTAATTTGGGGGCAAAAACTAAATCTAACAAGCTTCAACTATATCAATTTTGTCCTAAATTACTTTTATATCATAAAGTCGTTGGAATATGTAAAGGGGGAAGGGGGGCAGCTCGATCACCGGCCGAACAACCCCCAAAGAAAAAAAAAAAAAAAAAAAAAAGAAATGACATGACACAAGCAATATGCTAAGAAGCTTTCAAGACTTCAGAATCCCGGATGCATATCCAACACTGTAATTCAATTGGGACGGTGACATCACCATCTCACCTCCAAATGGGTCTAATGTCGCCGAAATTGAATTTGGGAAGTGGCTTAACGTCTCCACTGAGCCCTGATTTATGCCTTGCCGTTCATGAATATTTTGTTGACTGTCCATCCAATCATGATTGTCATCAAGCTGACCAAGATATTCGGCTTGTGATACTTGTGACGGCGCTTGAGAATTGAGTGCCGACTCACGCCTTGAAGTGGGCGGGGAAGAGGATTTCTTTGTTTTTGAGGACCGGTGACTCGGGCGTTTTTGAGAACCAGAGGGCCTAGGGCGCAACCCTCTACGGCGAACTTGACAAGTTGGACAGATCTTCACGAAACGTGAGATGAGCTCTTTCGGTACCCTAAAGCATAGTCAGCATATGAAAGTGGATCAGACACGTTCTGAAGCTGGGAACATTGCCTACCATGAATAGTTTGTTCGAACCTTGGCTGATGTCTTGTCTCTACCGCCATGTTTGCATTGCAGGTGTGCTTTTGTAAGTATCTTATAGAGTTTTTCGCGAACGGCCACTGGCCTCCCTTCATGGCAAATCATCTTCATGCACTTTAAAACATCTGATTAGTATAAAATAAATCTGCTGTTGTCTGAGAGCCAGCAATGTAAATCTATTTAAGAAATTCAGAATTCAAAATATACTAACATTCGAGGATCCAACTCCAGTTGTTCTAAGTTCAAACATTTTCTTGGCCCAAAACCTAGTCAACTCTCATTTAGCAAGTAAGCAAGGAGCTATTTGTCTCGTACCGAAATGCAGGGAGCACACAGGTTTAAGGCAAGTATGATCATAGCCTGCGAATTCGTACCGGAACTGTGCAGTTTCTACTGCAGTATTTTTGGGATCAGACAATATCATTTTTATGTGTCCTGCCCTTTGGGCATGTATAAGGGCCTTGTCCCTTTTTTTGGCAGAAAGGTCATGGATGTAACTGAACCATTTTCTCTGGTGAGTATAATCAGTTGTTGTATGAGCCTAAGGTACTTACCCATTTATCAAACGATCAAATTCTTCTGCATTTGGAAAACCTTCTGGCGCAGGAACAATTGCTTCTGACAGCATTGTTCTCTCATTTTTAGATTCTTGGTTTTCGATTTCTGTTTCGCTATGTGCTTCTCGCAGAGGCAGATACGCCGCTGACTGGAGGTAATGGGGCTGATTGATACATTGTGAGGATTGATGTTGTAGCCCTGCTTGGTCCGGAGTCGGTGGAAATGAGGGCCCCGTTGGATAGTGTGAAGCCAGGTGCTGAATGCTAGGAGATATCGATTGTTGAGCATAAGTTGGGCCAAACTGGGCCATGTAGGAATGGAGGGCTGGCTGCGACAAATGGTATGAGCCGCCTGGACCAAATGGATGACTTTCAGAATGGCTATATGGAAGAGGGAGGGCAATTTGCTGATCAATGAGGTAGCTTTCATGCCCACCATTATCATGTCTTCCAAAGTTGCTCATTGTGTATTCCACGGTGTTCTGCGTACTTGAAAGATGTCTGCCGCAAGCGCATCAAATTGTATAAGTAGAGAGACAATCAAGGATGTTTAGAGAAATTGAGAAGGGCCTAGGTGCTTCATATAGTTGGCTTGCATGTTGTGAGGCCTCTACATGACAGGCACAAATTGCGCCCAAGATAGTATGCCTGCGATGAGACCATGCCGGTCTACCTAGTAATGTAGCCAGTACGTGCATGGTTCTTCATCTACAACTTCTTCTTTCTGGCGCTTGCGCCTCCCAGGGTATAGGGACACAGAAAATTCATTCGCTGCTCCTGGGTCAGGGATACCCCGACATTGTCCTCAAGTGGTAAGCGAACAACAAGGCGTAGCAAGCAGCCAGACAGCTACAGTTTGTCCTGGCAAGGATTAGCTTTCGAACAAACAAACAAAAAGGGATAACACGGAATAAACTAGAAAAGGAGCAGGGATCCCAACCAATCATCCCACGCCATTATCGTATGTGCATGCAAGAATGGGAAAGCCCTCGGGATTGGTCAAAGCAGCAAGCGCAATAATAGGGCTCGCTCCTCGAGGTCGTCCATACCGGAACCCCCAGAAGGGGCAAGAGCGCTTATACTGTAATACAGTTTCTGGAAATTCTCCAGCTGACGTCTAATCCTGACAAGCATTTGCGCATCGAGAAAAAAAAAAAAACGAGGTAACGTCATGCTCCTATTCCATATCTGAGCCTTAAGAGAGCTTGTTTTGAATGGGGACTGCCTTGTCCCCTTAGTCCCATCTCTTCTTATTCTCCTTTCTTACCACACCATTCTTTGTCACTTGCGAGTCTGTCTTGTTTATCAACTGCTTCTTGAACCCAACCATCGCTCTTGGCTACTCTCAATGTGTCAATGGTGTCCTGTAGATGGCATTCCAAGGTCATGAATTTCAATTGCTTGTGCCTCCTGAGACTTCTGAATGTGAATAACTAGCAGTATGGAGAGCTGCATGCATGTGTGTTGTGCCCTGCTACATTGAAAAATGTATTGGTGATATGCTACCATGTGTGCCGAAGCATATCTAGTATTATCAGAAGCCTAAGACTCACCTTGGATGCGTCGCACGCTGTTTTGAAAGAGTGACAAGGTCAGGGAAAGCCATGGCTGGTTGCTAAGGCTCTCGTGTTGCTGTACCTTACTTCGTATAGTATATTACAATTTTGTCTGGACTCGAGATCATTATGGGTAACTGCAATTGTAGTACATTCGCACGCAAAAGTACCCAATACGACTTTCTTTCTCTACAAACCAGAATTGACATCGTTTTGAGCTTCGACCCTTTTAGCAACAAAAGGCTTTCTTTCTATACTATTATGTCTCTTTCCTTTCTTTTTCTTTCTGAGAGGGGTGATCTTGGTCCCAGCTAAACCTCTGACACCTCAATCCAATAAAATTACTTACTGTACAACCTTAAGTAATTCTTTTTATTTATTCTCCACCCCTTTCCCTTGTTTTCTTTCCATTTTTCTTGCATTGGTGTTGTTTTGTTTGTAGGACTCAGACGACGCTTCTGGAGTCACTGTTTTTTTGGGAAGAGGGGGGAAGAGCTCTGGTGGATCAAAAGTAAACCCGGAGCTACTGGATTAAATGTGTATGGCTCATCCACACTTGCAGAATGCTTGTACATGATTGTTTCACAAGTGATGTGTATCTGTTCTTCTGATCAGATCCTGTGTTTTCTTTTCTTTTCTAGCCCTTGGCATTACAGGGGAAATGGCTTTCATCTCCAAGAATTCCTTAAGTGATTTATTACATGTGTTTGTGCTACTGGCTTATGCTCTCTTCTCTTTGTCTAACAACAATCCATCCTGGATACACAAACAGAAAGGAAGGAGTGTATATATATAGAAATATAAATAAGATATGCCAATGTGTTTTCGTTTTGTTTTTTTTTTTTTTTTTTCTATTTGACTCGGTTGACTCGAATTAATAAAACCCAGCTTGACAATGAATGGTGAAGGTATTGTGTTGCCTTAAGCCCGGTGCGCTTTGCTTGTCTAACAGAAACCCCTGTCCTCTTTACCCCACTCTCCTGGAAAGAGAGAGGAGGGGAAAAGCGCCCATGTTGCATATTCTCCATCCAGCGATGTCTTTGTACTATGTATGCACCAGCCACAGGGGTTTTCCTCCGATGTACAGATAACATGGACCAGCCATAGGAAGCACCATGTTTGCTTTGAAAATAAATAAGCAGATTGCCGGAACCTGTGTAGACCTCGATTTTAGGGCCGGTGCTGAAACTAGCCCTAATATTTATAATGAAAGATAGAACAACCGTCACATGGAGTCTATATATCCTAAATGTATCGACTGGTCAATGTATGCGGGTCCTTCCAAACAAAACTTTTTTCCTCTAGCTGGCTCGAAACTAACCCCACAAACAGTCTAAATGTAATACATACATACTAGGTATAACTACACGGGTATCTCTGCATATCATAAGTTTTCTGTATTGCATCAAAAAAGCACAGCAATAGACCAGTAATATAAGGAAATTCATCATGCCGACTGGTTCGTTAATATCAACGAGGTGTCATGAAATCATATGGGAGGGGTATCATCCAATTACAAGCCTTGTGAGAAGTCTCTCATTTCTCCTTTTCTTTTATGATCATCGTCATCATAATCATCATAATCATCAATGTCAACAGACACACAGCATAGCGTGCCTTTGCCCAGAATGTCAGACAATGCCGCCGTAAGGTGTGGTGTTTTTTTTTTTTTTTTTTTTTCCAGCTCCAACTCCATTTTGCCGCTGGCTTGGTGTGGTGGGTATCGTTGTGCCTTATCATTACACTTATTGCTCACTCTCTTTTATCATCTTTGTGGCTAGCACCTGTATCGTCGAATTGATCCGTTTCGAATGGGCTGTTCGATTTTACCAAATCTCGGATAGCCCATCGCCATCCATCATCGAGCTTTCGATGCTCGAAGCCCACCCACTTATCAACTTTACGTTTCCATTTCTCTTCTTCGGCCCGCTGGCGTTTGATGAACTCGGGGCCGACGTCAAATTCCTCTGTGATAGGCCATTCGTCTGAAGACTCTCCACCGCTTCGATCATCTCCGCTTGCCACAGGACCAAGATCATCAGGTGCACCCAAAGTTCGTCCACTATGATTGTTGCTGCATGCTTTATCATCAAGGTCGTCAAGGCCAGCAAAAACGTCATCCTCATTTTGAATGGCCACTAGCCCATTGGCTCCGGGTTGTAGCGGTGCTAATTTAAGCCAGCACATGCGGTGTGGATCGAACACCATACCCCCGACCACCTGCACATTCTGCATTGCGCTTACGTTGGTGATAAGTGCTGGTGCTGGCTTGGGAGAAATTGGAGAAATATTGTCAAAATCTTGGACCAAATTCTCATTTCCTTCCCAGCGGAAAGTGATGGGGTTGTAACGCATCCCATTTACAGCTAGAAAATATAAAATCAGCTCCAGAAGAAAGGATCAAAAGACAATAGAAAGAAAGAAAGAAAGAAAGAAAAAAAAAAAAAAAACCAACTCACATTTAGCCCCCTGAACGCCCACGCCCATCGGTTTAATTAAATGGGGCTTATTTCCAGGCACCACAGATCTTCTCTTCTTGTTTCTTAATGCCGCTGAGCTATTGGAAGAGACACGCGACGTGCTTTGAGCCTTCCGATTCGCACCTAGTGACGGGAATGAGTTGGCTTCTCGATCCTTCATATTCACGGAGGCAATGCGTTGTTCTCTTGCATTCCTGGAGGCATTCGTATCCCGTGCGAAATGCGGTGTGGAGCCAGGGGTCTTCAGTGAAGTAACGAGTGCAGATGATTGTGGTGTCTCCCCCTGAGGTACCATATTTTGACTCTGACTCAACCTGCTTCGGAGGAACCTTGGGGCGCCACGCCCGCTGGCATGCTTGACAAATTTGCTTTCGGTCGAGGAAGACGTGGGCAAATCATCAAACAACTCCAGTTCCGTTCCGTTGCCAAAGTTCCGCCGACGAACTGGCTTAGTGACGGTACGTTTAGCAGCATTTGTTTCTGAGTCAGCATCGCTAGAACCGTTGTTGCCAACAGCACCAGTGTGATTCAGCCGTGCAAGTCGCGATACAGACCCCCGTGAATAAAGTACATCACTCGGGCTACGTGCATGACGGTAGCTTTTGACGGTGACGTGATGCGATTGGTTTTCTGAAGCACCTGCCGGGATGAATGGCGCTTGAATCCTGCGATTAGCATTCATGCGATCGACTGGCGTTTTTGGATAGGCTGTAGGCATAAACCATTGGCTCTTTGTATCCTGATGGGACACTATACCTTGGGATACCATAGCATTCTGATACATGCCGCGCATGGCCGGCATGGATCGCTTTGCCTTCAAGGATTGCAGTGATTGCTTTCCGGCAGGAGCATGCGCAGCCAACAAGGAATCCTTCGAGACACGCGTCCCAACCAGCCGTCGACCAGCGGGCTGGGGAGTCGGAGATGTCGACATTGAACTAGGCGCAGGCAAACTGGACAGAGAAGAGTGCGATGAATGGCCACCGAACCGAGATTTTTGTGAACGCCAGAAATTGGAAAGGGGTGCTCCACTTTCCGACACGGTTTCAAGAAAAGTTGAGTGGGGGCGATCATGACCTGAGAGACGGGGGATCCGAGTCTTGGGAGATGCGGGTGTATTCGTGAACCGAATCGTAGTCGCCGAACGACGTGTCGGGTTTTCCGGGCATTCCGCCTTGCATTTTACATTTGGGTTGAGCGACACGTTTGCTGTGAAAATATCGCCGCCTTCGATTTCGATACCGGAGAAGAAATCGTCCACCTCCGCCGATTCCTGTCCATCCTGGATGCATCCTGAATGTGGCTGGGCAGTTGTAGGTGGATCCTGTAGCTTCCTTAGGGATGTCTGTAGGTCCAGAGGTTGGTCAGGGATAACGAGCCCATCAAGATTATCATCTTCACTCTCGCCGGTCAAGCAACTCGACAAACTCGGGCTAGCAATCGACACTGATGAGCTAGGGTTGGATCGCCGATCCCGCGCCGTACCACCGAGTCGAACACCGATACTCCCTTCAAACCAGTCTAGATCGAGGTCTTCTGGGAATTGACTTGAACTGTTTGCGTTGACCCTTCGCCTAAGTGGAAGATCTTCGGGGGGCAGCTCGAAATCATTATCAAGACTTTCCACTTCGTTTTCAGCTTCGTAGGTATCGTTATTGACGGGCGTTGCTTGTTGACGTGTCCGGGGTTTTGGGAGTTTGATAGTAGGCACATTCTGAAGATCAGCAACATCGTCATCATCCCGAGCCAACCCCGCCAACGCAGAATGCAGGCGGTCTGATGTATCATTATCCCATGAGAACGGAGTCGAACGCTTCACAGGACTCGTTGAGGTAGAATTGATTTGCCGAAGAATTTCAGGGAAATTTCGTTCTTTGGGATCTTTCAATTTCAATGTACATTCCGGGCCTGGGAACTCGACGTCTTCAGACCAATCATCTGCGAAGTTCTTTCTTGGCTTCTTTCGTCCCAGGCGCTTGATTGTGCCCCCTGTCAGGGCCGACTTGGGCACATTCGCAGGCAATGGGATCCCGGCGCTTTGAGCAGACGCGATAGCATCGTCGGTCGCATAATCATCGTTTTCGAGTAATTGTACTTGCCAGTCCTCATCGCCGCCGGTGTTGGATTCAAGATCGGATCTAGCAGAGCGACGAGATGAAATTGAATCCCGATGTCCCGATCGGCGAATCGAACAACTCGTCACGGATGTAGCGCTAGACGCAGCACGGAATTGTATATCTTCATGGCATTGTAGATCACTATCGTCGTCCCAGCATTCAATTGTCTTTTCGTCATCCTGCCGTAACTGAAGGGTCAACGGTTCCATGGTCTAGGAATTGTTGGGCATGGGAAACCTGAAGAGTACGCGCGAGGAAGGGAAGAAAATAATAAAAAAAGGGAAAAAAAAAGGAAGGAATGAAAAGTGATGTTTGTTTATTGAGACTGTCCGGTGGGTTGCGGAGCAGAGTGGAACGTCATTCCGAACTCGCCTGCGAGTGAAGAAAAGATAGAAGATGGGATTTGCTACCAGGGGAGAGACATATGGCGAAACCTCTGCAGTCGCGACTCTTGTTTGAGGTTTGAATGGAAGGAGATGGGTCGAGAGTAAAAGCGTGGGGAAGGAAGGGAGAGTACAAAAGCTGTAATTGGATGTGGCTCAGGGGGAATTCGGACGGTGGATTCGTGATTCGCTCTAGGTCACGAGAATACGTAGAAGTATCATAAGGGCTACAGGAGAACCAGAGCGAAAGTAGCCAGGCTCCTGTGTCTGTTATGTTCGAGTACTGTCCCAACAGTGTTGATGGTGGCTGATTTTGAATTCCTTGGATGAGACAGGGCTTAACGCAGCGCGCAGGTGTATGGATTATTATGTAGGTCCTTCGTGCACAAAGACTAGGTAGTGAAGGGACAAAGAGTTGGCACTTTCTCTAAATTAGATTGGACCTGGGGGCGGGGAGCGGGAGAGGAAGAAGAAGAGGAAGGAGGGGAAGCGAAAGGAGAGGAAAAGATGGTGCACTTGTTTTGAGAACTGATAAGATACTCGATGCAGCATGGATTACACTAGGACTATCACGGACTAGCACACCTGCTAAGCAGGACTAATGAGGGTCAAAGATGGAGCTGATAATAAAGAGTTATGACTGATGTACTCCGTATGTATATGTATGTACAAGTCGAAATACTCCACTTCTCACTCCTTAAATGTGACTGCATAGTACAATAAGTAGTGTACAGAGAACATTTTTTTGCTGTTTATTACTAAACGGATTTTATGCATTTCTATCTAGCTTATATTTTACACATTATAAACTGTGATCTATTTTTCAAATATATATATATACACACTATACATATGTTCCGAAGCTATGTTTATTTTTCTTTCCCTAGTATCCGAGGTACTGAAATGTACAGAAGATTGGTGTATCTGTATCATTTACATGTGTGTCAACAGCATCTAAAAATAAGATAATAGTGATTCATTCCAAAGCGGTTAGACAGTATCTGCGGACTTAGCAGGCAGCAATAGCATTGACAGTGCTATATACACATCATCATCTCACCACTTTCCGACTGCGGCATACTCTTTACGACCAACTTGAATTCTGACAACAAAATGCCAGCAAAACCAAATAGCGCATCATCTCTGCAAATATTGCGGATCCCTAGAACCGATGAACCCGACTCCTACGTGCTGCTCCGAGTTACCAAGTCAAGCTCCGACCTGGCAGTCGTTGCCACGGAAGGGGAGAGCCCATATACCGGTTATAGTGAGTCTTTTCATCGTTCCTACACACTTAAATGTCCCTTGATATCGTCTTTCCCATGTCCCAATATACTGAGAACAACAGTCAAACAGAGTCGACTAAAGAGCCTCCGTGCAAAAAGTTACCAAGGCAGTGACGAAGAATGGGCTCAGATTGTATCATACGTTTTTGGACAATTTTCCTCGACAGTTGGTAAACCAGTATGGTCATATGGGATCGAAGTTTCGGCCAACGTCTCTGATTCCGCGAATTATGAAGACAAAGAGATAGTCCTGACCATACGGAAACGAATCCAATCTATAACAGTATGCTCCGCATAATGATATTATTGTTCTCTCGCTGAACCGCATCATAGCAAAGGCTCGGGTCCATAAGCCTCAAACAGGATAATGAACAGGCCATCGAACTATTTGATTGGCTTGGTGTTGCCGCCGCCAGAGCACATACCTCCGAGGAGCGCTCTTCGTCACTAGCTGATCGTTGTCGCATCGCCGAGGACACTATCCAACAACTGACGAAGCAGCTCGAGGAGCTCGTTCACGCAAAATCCCACCATGAAGACCAGCTGGTTGCCAATTTTGCTCACTTGCTGAACAAGAAGAAGCTCAAAATACGCAATCAACAGCGCTTATTGGTCTCGGCTAAGGTAGACCCAGTCAAGGGTATGTGTCTTTCGTCCGACCTGGTCTATTGAATACCGTCACTCGGTGCTAATCTAATTCAGTATCTGAGATACAGGCAGCAACATCTAAGGGTCGTGACTTAACACAGAAAAACAGGCGCCTAAAGCGCAATGCTAGAGAAATGAGCAAAGATGAATTAGAAAGTGGAGATGGATTTGAAGAAATGCAAATGGATCACGCTGGTAACCAAGGTCGGGAACAGGACCAAGAAACGGACGATGAAGAGCGTTCAACCCCTCAGCCATTAGAAGATGAAGGAGACCATGGCACCACCACAGACGAAGAGTCTGTCCTGTCACATGTCGAGCCAGGAAATGAAAACGATGGCGTGAAGAAGTCCGACATAAGTAATGGTCCTATGCTCAAGGATTCTGCAGCTTCTCCGCCGCGAAGAGAACTCCCCTTTGCGAGGCGAGCCCCAAAAAAGGAGGTACAGAGCCAGCCGCACCAAGCAGAATACGATGTCGAAAGTACTACTGGAGAGACGGATGATGATGAGTTATGACAAAAACTACCATCACGTTGGTTTTTTTTCCCCCCGAAATAGCACACATTTTACAGATATTACTTGATACCTGAGCCCCGTATTTATGAAGTATACTCATAGTTTTTGGCGACACTCGTCGGAATCTAATATTTTTTATCTCAATCTTATATACAAGTCGACAACTATCAACGAGGTCTGAGCCATATCATAAGCAGCTGAGGCGCCGTAAGAAAAAAACAGAAATAGACATGAGAAAAAGGGGAGTTCAAAACAAAAATGAAACTAAACATCATACAAACGACACGAGAAAATGGTGACGTTTAGGTGGTAGAACGACAACGCCTAGACCGATAGAGAAACAGAAATATATCTATCCACTGCGACCAAAGTCTTATGTTTAACCATACAAAGCCTGGGGAGACATTTCACCAGCTGCCATGAAATTCGTCTCAGGGTTTCCGGTGGCCTTGGCTGCAGAGGAGCGAGCCATAGTCGGCGAACTATCGACCTGTGAGCGACACGAAAAAATGTATTACAAGGAACGAGTGGATGGTGCACATACCTTCTTGAAATAGAGTCAGTAAAGTAGAAATCCTCGATAACATTCTTGAATGGGGCATTGGTGGGCTGGGTGCCCTTGTTCTGCTCAACCAATTGAATCTTGCTCAACAAGGGGAGAGAAGTTGCTTCGACCACATCATAGCGCCGCATTACAGGGCTGATTTCCTCCATACGGTCACGGAGAGCTTCAATGTCGTCGTAGGGAAGTGGTGCACCAAGGAATTCGCTGATCGCACGGATAATCTTCCAGTCATCACGTGCAGCACCAGGCAAGGAAGTCGCAGCACGAGTCATTTGCACGCGACCCTCGGTGTTGATATAGGTGCCGGATTTCTCGGTGTAGGCCGCACCGGGGAGGACAACGTCGGCCAGCTGAGCCCCGCGGTCACCATGATGACCTTGGTAGACGACAAATGCGTCGCTTGGAACATCGCTACGGCTAACTTCATCCGCACCCAGGAGCCAGACCATCTTAGGTTTCGCTTGGGCGACTTCCGGGGATGGCGTAGTAAACCCAACCTCGTATGCCGCTGCGCGGGATGCTGCGCGCTGAAGAACGTTGTATCCTTGCCACTCGGGGGTGTTGAAGTTATTGGCGTGCTTGTCGACGAAGCCTCCAATTACCTCGAAAATTGCCTTGGCATCAGGGTGCTCAGCTGCGGCGCTACCGACAACAATCATTGGGCGTTGAGCGGAAGCGAGCTTTTCACCAAACTGTCCAGAGAGGACCGACTTCAAGGCAGAGATATCAGCTCCAAGGTGCTCGTAGTCAAAAGTGCTGTCGAACTTTTCTCCGACCAGTCCAATTTCGAGGTCAGAGCGCAGGTACTGTTTGCGAATGCGAGCATTGAGGACAGATGCTTCGTGGCGAGGGTTGGTAGCAACAAGAAGAATAGAATCCGCTTCCTCGATACCGTAGATCTTAGAGTTGAAAAGATAGTTGGAGCGGATATCAACACCGTGGGCAATGGGTGAACTGCCTCCAGGTTGATCCAGGGCAAGGTTATCTGACCCAAGTTTGTTAGCCAAATCTTTCATGGCCACGAGCGATTCAGCATCAACGAGATGCCCGGCAATAGCCTTGAACTCATTTGTGCTGGGTTGGAGCTTTTGTTGAGCAGATGAAATTTCAGTCAAGGCTTGTTCCCAAGTGGCCGGGACAAACTTGCCCTCTCTGCGGATCAATGGTGTTGTAAGTCTTTGCGTCTTCAGACCATCGCACGCGAATCTAGATTTATCGTTGATCCATTCCTCGTTGATATCGTCATTAAGTCTTGGAATTACACGCATGACTTCCAACCCACGAGAATCAATTCGAACATTGGAGCCCAAGGCGTCATGAACATCAATGGATTCGGTGTGCTTTAGTTCCCAGGGACGAGCGCGGAACGCGTAAGGCTTTGAGGTGAGTGCCCCCACGGGGCAAAGGTCAATGATGTTACCAGACAATTCTGAGTCGAGATTCTTTTCCAAATAAGTTCCAATCTGCATGTCGTTCCCTCTGCCTGTGGTTCCAAGTTCCGGAGCTCCAGCAACATCGTTCATGAATCGGACGCAACGTGTGCAGTGAATACACCTGTTCATGGAAGTTTTGACTAGAGGTCCGATGTTTTTATCTTCGACGGCACGTTTACCGCCAACTTCGTGAAACCGACCGCGGTCAGCGCCATAACGCATCGACTGATCCTGAAGATCACACTCTCCACCCTGGTCGCAAATGGGGCAGTCAAGAGGATGATTAGCGAGCAAGAACTCCATCACACCCTCTCTCGCTTTATGGACAAGAGGCGAACTCGTCTTGACATTCATCCCAGGTTGTACAGGGAAGGCGCACGATGCCACAGGCTTGGGAGCTCGCTCGACTTCAACAAGACACATACGGCCTAGCAAAGCCATTAGACGGTTTTTCAATACTTAGAAGACCTGGTGGACGGAGGGAAACGTACAATTGCCTGCAATCAAAAGCTTTCTTTTAGGTAAGTTAGCAGATGTAATATCTTCGCTGAAAGGGATGGAGCGTACTCATGATAGCAGTATCTGCAACGCTTTTGTTAGAATATCTTGACCGTAGACGAGGATTCATGAAGCAGTACGCACCTTGGAATTGTCGAGCCTGCTTTCTCGCAAGCCTGAATAAGAGCTGAACCGGCTGCAAAACTGTGTAAGCAGGGGGGCCACGAATTCGTTCGCTTCTATGGATGTTTTTACCTTCCACTGATATCTTTTTGCCATCTAGTAACCAACAGCTGTCAGTAAGAAAACCAGAATTGATAGCGAAGGAGGATGGACATACCAATTGTGACTTCTACCTCAGCAGTGCGAGGGGCAGTCGTCGCGAAGGTCCTGGGATAGCTGCTGACATTTGGGACCCGGAAAGACCGGGCGGCCGCACGAAACAGTTGCGGCCGCATGGTGAGATAAAAGAGACAAGGAAGGGAAAGGGGGGGGAGGGGGGAGAAATAAATAAGTACAGCAGACTGGAAAGGTTGACAGCAGGCACAGAGCTGCGAAGCTGTTGTTCTTTGGACAAGAGCACTTTTGGCTTGGTTCGGATTCTGGTCTGCTAAAGCGGGCGTCACTCGCAAATTGCCTGCTGCGGATTGGCTCGGTTATGCGGGAAATCCCTTAATCCGAACCACACCTTTTTCTTCTCCTGGGGTTGGATTTGTTTTCCTTTTTTTCTCTTTTCTTCTGAATCATAACTCATTCATCGGACTTGATTATTGTAGGTGGAAGGGTATTGCTGAAGGCAATATAGGTCCCTTCTTCCTCTGCTACATGATCCAAGAAGAAACGTTCACTAAGCTGGAGCCGCCCAGGGCAGATTGACTGTCTAATGAGGGTTTTTTTTTGGTTTCTGTGACAGTGGCAACAAATTCGGCGATTAATAATCACAATAATCAGCATTTGGTGATTCGTTTAAAAAAAAATACATAAAAACCTCTGGTTATCTAGGTTGTACATAGTTTCACGTTATTATATCGTATATTACAGTTGGAGGGAAACTCAAAGACTCTTACAGAGTACATCATCCCCTTTTGCGTAGTACGTGTGAACAAGTTTCAATTTCGAGATAAGGCAAAGCAGGAGAATATAAAGAAAACGAGAAAGATGAACAAAAGAAAATATCAAGAGTCACTTGGCTGCCATGTTGACTCTTGTTTTGTGCCAGGCGGTAACCATGCTCTAGAAGTACTGCCTCCTCTCGATCGAACATGACCAGAAGTATCATCTTCCTTCTTTGAATTATGAGCCAAATGATGTGGGTTCTCAGAGAATGGGCCTTGAGAATCCTTGCCAGATGGGAAGGCATAACCGTTGGAATTCCATGGGGTACTCGTTGACGTTCGCGCATTCAAGGGGAGGACGGATTCCTTGGCGCGAAAATAATCTGCATTCGCCCGTCGATTTGCAACATCATCATGACTATTTCGATCGTATAGGTAAAGCCCAAGGAAAGTAAGAGCAATACCCAAAGCCTGCATTGAAGTGGTCGGACTGCCAAACCACACAATCGCGACAACGATGACGAATACCCGCTTCACTAAAGAAGCGACGGAGTATGACACAGGTGAAATCTTAGAGAGCAGAACGAATGCCAGGATATTTTGCGCAAAGTGCGAAACCCCGTTGAATACGAACTCGAGGAAGAGTTCTCCATGGTCCAATGAACCTTTCTTGCCTGAAAGAGAGATGATTCCGTCCTGCATGAAGTCTGATATCAATGAATAGCCCTCACTGCAAATCCATATCGGTAATGTGAGGATGAATGCTATCCCAGAGCAATAGCATAGTAAGTTGAGTTTGTCTAACTTTCGTTTTCCCGATAACTGCTCCGATTCAGCTCGCGAAGCTTCGTTGAAAAGCTTTTTAGAGAAAATGTTTTGCGAAACGAAGACTAGCGCCGCAACGAGTGCGCACAGTATGCCAAAAAAGTTTGTAGAGAATCCTGTTGAACAGGCAAGCATCACGCCTGAGGTTAATGGGACTAGCGACAGATATGTTGCTTTAGCATATCGGATACGGAAAAGTACACGGTATGCGAGAACGGTGAAAAGAGGCGAAAGGCCCTTGATCGTGTGGACTAGCGATACCGGTATCAAAGAGGTAGCCATGGAACTGAGTATATGACCAGCCAGTTGGAATATTGCCAAGGGCAATGCTGTCATGACAACATCGCGCGACGGGTAAAGAATGCCATTTTTCAGTGCTGGTATATTCCTTCTGAGCGATGGCACTGCAGTAGAAAGATACGCCAATACCAAGCACCATATTGACACAAAAGCGAATTGCACAGCTGTAAGGGTGATAGGTTTCGGTAGAGCATTAAGGATGGATTTCGACGATGTGTTTGTGACGGCTGAGGTCATGTACCAAATAAGACAAAGGAACTACCGATGCACCAATTAGCCGAATTCCTCGAGTGAAAAGGGATATCAGCAATCTTACTATCAGCTGATAAGAGACTGGAGCCCTCAGGGCCTGTGCTAGTTCCTGCGCATTTGCACTCACGCTGGCATTCCGGGTTCTAATTGTGCTAATCGCCTCACTGACGCTTTTCCTGGGCCTGTGTTTCGAGATTCTGGTTGATTCGTTCCCATGCTCCCGCATGAATGCGCTCGTCTTTCGAGGCTCCCAAAGCTCGCGCGGTGCGTACCTGATGGTTGAGCTGGGTTGCGGTTCCCCTTGCCCTGCTGCTGTATCATACGGCTCGTCGCTGAAAGGTGGGAACTTGTCTATTGGACTCGTCATGGACTGCGAAATAGATGTTTTTGCCGGTATCTGTAACTCTGGTGGCCGTGTCGAGGAGCGTCGCCCAGTTCCAGTTACAACGGTTGTTGTCATGTCCCAAAGCGCGGTCTTTGCAACTGGTCGAGTGTTAAAACGATTCCACTTTCAAGATTAAGGTAAGACCGAAGAATTAGCATACCGTAGTTTTCCCAAGCGCGCAACCGGAAAACAAGCTGTGGCGTTAATGCTGCGTAATTCGCCTTTGATATCCAAAAAAAAAAAAAGAAAAAAGAAAAAAAAAAAGAAAGAAAGAAAGAAAGATAAAACGGCCGCAACGTAGGATTCCTTTGGTGGTCAAGGTACAGAGTGCATACGGAGTAAGTCCTCTGCATAGCGGGCTCCCGTCCTGATGACGAATCCCCCTCCGCGAATGAACATCTAGAATGGGAAGCCGTGCAGTGGGATGTACTACTAGGAATTTGGTACTAGTACTGTATGGGGTACTGTACTACCATTTGTACTTGTTTTACTTGCTTCCCTACAGAGTGCGTACGAAGAAGTAATAATGAGAGTGAGGAGGCAATACTGTCTTCTACCCCAGAAAGAAGAGGTCGTCGCATAAGTGACAAATTTGCATCACTGATCCCGAAGAGATATACAATCAAGGATCTTGATCGACTATTGTTGCCCTTCCATACAAAATGATAAACTTTTTGTTGGGAGTGCTTTTATTAGCAATTTGTTCCCTCCAACCTGTGGTATGCAGTCGTGATGTGATGGGACCACACCTTGATAATCCCTATCAAATCCCTTTCCTTGAAGCAAACAGAAACGTCTCACTTTCAAGAACGTGGCAGATTCTTGGTCCTTTTCGATCTGGAACACGAGGTTGGTGCTGCCCGTACTCCCCGGTCTTTAATCGTTTTGGACATCTTGAATAATGCGTAGGTTGACTTTTGATGTATTCTTGGGCCAGAGGCTATCTGGGGCGCAGATCCATTGGAATACTATAATGGCTTCTCCAGTCTTTCTTATAGTACAAATGCCACTTTCAACAGCGCTCTTGCTGTCAATGGAGCTGCCAGATGGAGTCTCGTTCGGGCTGATGTTTCGAGCACTTCGCCGGGATCGATAAAAGCCTCACTGAATGTGAGTTTCCCGGAAGTCGAATGGAGCTTTTTACAATCTGTATATGGGTGGTCTGCATTGCAATACCAGGCCTGGGCCCGTGGATTCCTGAATGTGAGCCAGCCGAATGGTCAGACTATTGCTCTGTATATGAGTGGTTTGCTCGAGTTCTTAGTGGATGGTAAACGGCATTTTGGTGGTAATTTTTACAGCTATCACAGAGCCCCCGTTATCTTACACCTATCTCAAGGCCAACATACATTGGACTTGAGGTTGACGCGCGATGTTAGGGCTCTGGGTGCAGCTGATGAACCTATAATTGGGGTCGACGTTGAAGCTGAAGAGCGCCAGATGTCTTTGAGCATCGACCAAGAAAGCCTCTTGGTATCTGACATCACCCAAGGAAGGCTTGGAAATGGCTGGGCGTCGATAAATGTCCAGAACAATCTAGCTGAGTGGGTTGAAATTGTCTCTCTTAGTTCGCCTGATGTTAGTTTGTGCGGTACCATGTGCGTTACATGCAAATAGACTAACGAATCAATCAGGCCTCCCAATATGTGTTAGATATGGAAAGTCTACCCCTTTTCCCGTACCAAGTTCGGCCACTTATATTTAGCATTTCTCTTGGGCCCCCCTTGAAATTTGAATTCTCCGTCGATATTATCTACAAGACAGATACGGAAAAAGGTGAAGTCCTCGGGACGCTGCCCTTTCAGGTGAAACTTGTCGAGAAGTCCCTTTCAGAAACACAAAAAATCACATTTCTTCATTCTGCTAGAATAGTTTCCTATGCTATTTTGAGGCCACCACCACTTACTTCCACCTGTGGATTTCATGAGGGACGAAAACCTATTCCTGTGATGGTTGCTCTCCACGGGGCAGGGCTTCAGGCAGATGCACCCCAAGTGCGTGAGATGTTGGATGCTGCCAATTTTATTTGCTCATGGAAGCTGCTTCCCACTGGTGTTACTCCATGGAGTGGTGATGACTGGCGTGAGTTTCATGAAACTTTCATTGACCCAGAGTTTGCTGATGCAAAAAACCCTACTGATTGAGCTACAGATATCTGGGGTGCCTCTGATGTCCAAGCCGCTATAGCGGCAATCCCTGAATGGATCAAAAACGTTAACTGGACAGGTCCACATGCAACTGTGGATAACTGGATTCTCACTGGCCATTCAAATGGAGGTACTGAGTCCCAGTACCCCATATTTTAATGCTTTCATGCAGCTAAGCAAGAAATACCGTTATAGGACACGGGGTATGGTTTTTTTCGACCCACTATCCCGACAATATTATTGCAGCGGCGCCAGTATCAGGATATTCTTCCATTGAAAGTACGTACTCCGATTCTTGCGGCAAATGAGAGTATGCTGATAATGCAGACTACGTGCCATACAGTATGTGGCAGGAATCTGACCCAATAGTTTCATCTGTTCTTCAGAGGTCTCGGTCAAATTATAAAAATGAACTACTATTAGAGAATGCTGCAGGCATCCCGATATTTCAGCAACATGGTTCTAATGATGATAATGTACCGGTGTACCACTCTCGTCTTATGCATGAGCTACTTGGAAGAACCCAGTGGCCGTCCCAATACAATGAACTACCTGGAAAGGGTCATTGGTTCGAGGGAATCATGACTACTTCATCGTTGTTGGAATTTTATGAAGAAAGGGCCACTTCCCAGTACCGACCAACCACCCCATTATCATTCACCATAAGCATTCCGTCATCTGGAGCCATGGGGTCCGTGTATGGGATTTACGTCGATCAGCTACAGTCACCCGATATGAACGGCAAAATAGAGGTCACCCGAGACCTGGGAAATGGGCTTTGGTATCTGCAGACACAAAATATACATCGCTTTCGTCTCTCAGTCAGCACCCGGGTAGAAGTCCCAGTTGCTTTAGTGTTGGACAGAATGGAATATCCATTTATCGTGAACCCAAGTCTATTCGAGAAGACATGGTATCTTAAAAGCCCTCTGAACCGATGGATAACATCAAACGATACCGAATGGAAAAATATTTACCAAAGGCACGGCAATCAAATGGGTGCAATGGATGCTATATTGCGCTCCAATGGGGCCTTTACAATCTCTACTTGCTCGGCTGATGCTGAACATATTGCACTCCAAATTAGCCGGAACCTTCTACAATACTTTGCAGCAGATTCTCTGGTAAGCGAGGAATGCAGCTCGACCGCTCCTTTTCTAGACCAAACATCCAAAAACAGGCACGGAAATTTCATAGTCCTTGCTATAGGCGATGACTTGCCTCCCTCGAGAAATCCGGCATTTCCAATTCGCGTTTGTCGTGGTACCCTTATGCTCTCAAAAATATGCAATCCTCTTCATTCCACATATGAAGCGGGAATTGACTCTCAGAGAGCACAGAAGTATGTGTCCGAATATACCTACCAGAAGGGTCTGGGGGCACTGTTTCTTCGTCCTTTAGAAAATGAGCGATTGGAGCTGATTGTTTGGGGTGCGGATCTGCACGGCCTTGAACAAGCTGCACGTCTTGTGCCTACACTTACAGGTGTCGGACAGCCTGACTTTTTAGTACTGAGCGATAGCTGCCGTTGGAAAGGTCACGGCGGTCTACTTGCCGCAGGGCATTTCAACAAATTTTGGCAGATATCACCTAGTTCTTATCTTTACAGGGGACCGGGAACATACGAAAAATACTCGCTATGAAAACATCCTAATGATGTTGCAACAATTGCTAAGTGGATAATATGTCTATCTGTACGCTTTTTCTTAGACAATAAAACATTCTGACCACCCAGTTACCAGTAAGAACATCAAAAATTATTCATGAATCTTAACAAGAGATTTACATTTTTGTAATATTAATCTGGTTCCTGCATGTGCAAAAGAGATTGGCTGTAAGTAATGTTCTGCCGATGAAGGGCCTTCCCTTTTAGGTACCTTCCACCTCCACCACTGCTTCCCATTAGGGCTCCTTCCTCTGCTCTTTCGTCCAGTCCCACGCTGTGACTACATTCGTTGTTTCCTCCGCCCTTCATTTCTTGTTTTTGCAAATCTCCTTGACCTCCCTTTTCATCTCGTTTCTCAGACACTGCCATCTATCGTGTTTCGTTTTGCTCGCAGAAATAGTTCTATCTTTCTACTTACCATCATCTCACAACCATCTGCACCACTGCCAAATCACCGTTACATGTGAAATCATTTGGATTTTGTCGGGTGTACCTAATTGCTTACCTTTCCTCCACACACTACTTCATCGTTTGCTTTCTCTCGCAGCGTTTTGCTTACCATTCTCTTTCATTTCTTTATACCTTCAAGGGTCACTTTGCGGTTTAGGACGGCAGTTGCTGTTACGAGAGGCAGCATGACTTTGCTTTCAACTGGTTCTCCTAAAGTTAGCCGCAAGCACTCCGGAGGATGCTCACTTTCCAGTGAAGGGGGCGTCAACGCGCGCCCCATTTCCTCCGGGCGTGAAAAGCTAGTGAGTCAATTTGAAATCTGGGAGGCGCAGATGGCTGACCTTATTGCCTTCACAGGGACACAGGCAATCGAGCACTTCTCATACCACCCCTGACCCTCTCGTATCCTCAAGACTCGGCAATTTCCAACCACCCATGGGCGAAGGAGACAGTGTTCCACCATACAAGGTCAGGTTCCTACATCTTCACAGATCTTTCAATCTAGATCGTTGGCTCACAAACCCCAAGCAGAAGTTGGAAAATCCCAAGCATGTATCCTCGGTTGGACAATCTGAGATGGAAAAAATACTGGCCAAACTTTCTCTTAAATCCCAGTCCTCTGGAGGCAAAACCTCTCCTAGCCAAGAGATCCTTGCGAAGCTTTCAGAGCAACAGGTGTTACTCGGCAAGCAAAAGAATTTCTTGGTCAACACCAATGCTGTCCCCATGAGACGTGCACAGGTAGAAGCCATTGGCTCTTCGAGCACGTCGCCGCTTACACTCGCAACCGGGCCGCTTGGGGACTCAGCTCCAGGTGAAACGAAAAGCATCGAAGCGACTGAGGTGCTCCGACTCAAGCAGGAACTCCTCGCTGCTAATTCCAAGATTGCCCTTCAGGAGCAAGAGCTAGCACAGACACGTGTGATGAATCACACCTTAGACCAGGCTCTTGGCTCCCCATCCGAAGTTGACTTCAACGGACGCGAGGTTAGTGAACAGACAATCAGCCAACTGCAAAATGCTTTCAATGCGTCGAATGGAGTTTTCAGTCAATTCCATGATACGTGGAATGCGCAGGAAGACTCACGGTCTGATGTCTCCGACACACTCTCGGCTGGCACGTACAACAAAGCCCAAGGGTTTTGGGTCGCCCCGCCTCAGCAGCCGTTCGGTATGAGCGTTAATGCTCCTACTTCTGGCAGCCGGTTCGGAGACTCTTCGTCCCTGAATACCAACTCAGTTGGACCCGAACCTAGCAAACTCTGGGCTGGCTCACCTACGGCTTCTGGTATACCCGCTTCCAGTTCATTTCCTTCCCAACGAGTGCTTTCGGGACCTTCTTCTGGCATCGCAAATTTTCATGGACGCTTCCCCGAGGAACATGCCCGATACATTCAAGCCCCAGGCTCAGGGCCGCGCCACTCTATGTCTCAAATGAACCGTGGCGGATCATGCTTCCCACCACAGAGCTCTCCTTGGGGAACTTTTTCTCCGGGAATCCCTACAAGCCCAATCTCTAGATCGCCTGCAGATAGGGGATGCAACACTTACCAGCAGGTTCCAATGTACCAGGTTCCTCCATATAATCCACGGCCAATTGGAACACCGCTCTCTCCAACGGCGACTGAATTCACTTCAGCAAATGGGAATGTGATGCCTTGGACAACGTCACTGGTAAGCTACTGTTCAACTTCTTTACACTGACATACGACGTAAAACTGAGATGTTCTTAGGTCGGTGGTAGCACTTCTATGCCAACGCATGTTCCGCCCCTTGAGCCACTAAACTATCGCCGACTCCTGGATAAAAATGTCTCTTGCGACTGGAAGTATATAGTGGACAAGATCGTTTGTAACAATGACCAACAGGCATCGATTTTTCTTCAGCAGAAGCTCAAAATTGGTACCACAGAACAAAAATACGATATGGTCGAGGCAATAGTGAACCAGGCTTATCCCTTGATGGTTAACCGTTTTGGAAACTTTCTCGTTCAACGTTGCTTTGAGCACGGTACACCTGAACAGGTTGTTGCAATCGCTAATACGATCAAGGGTAACGCGTTGAGCCTTAGCATGGACCCCTTTGGATGTCATGTGATCCAAAAGGCGTTTGATTGCGTTCCTGAAGAGCACAAAGCTATCATGGTCCATGAACTTTTACGCAGAATTCCGGAAACAGTGATCCATCGATACGCATGCCATGTTTGGCAGAAGCTCTTCGAACTCCGTTGGAGTGGCGAGCCCCCGCAAATCATGGCCAAAGTCAACGAAGCGTTGCGAGGAATGTGGCATGAAGTTGCCCTGGGAGAAACAGGGAGCCTGGTAGTTCAAAATATTTTTGAGAACTGTGTCGAAGATGAGAAGGTATCGAAACACACTATCAACCGAAGGGACTAAGCTAACAACACATCTAGCGACCTGCTATCGAAGAAGTGATATCCAAGATTGACGTGCTTGCTCATGGTCAATTCGGAAATTGGTGTATCCAGCATATTTGCGAACATGGTGCTCCTCACGATAGAAGCCGCGCTATTGAACATATCCTCCTTCGGTCTGTTGACTATAGCATGGATCAGTTTGCCTCAAAGATTGTCGAGAAATGTCTGAAGATAGGTGGCTCCGAGTTTCTGGACCGCTACCTTTCTCGTGTGTGTACCGGGCGTGCTGATAGGCCAAGGATGCCATTGATTGACAGTAAGTTTAAACCTCCCCCCCAACCTTCCCTCTTTCCAGGTCATCGAATGCTCAGTTTTTTCATAGTTGCCGGAGACCAATACGGAAATTATCTTGTTCAATGGGTTTTGATAAATGCTGCGTCTCACCAGCGTGAATTGGTCGCTAGCCATATTCGGTACGGTTGTCCTCTTGCTCCTTAGTCACTGATGAGTATCTTCGGCCATTCTAACGAGAGTGCCAACATAGTAAGCACATGGTTTCCTTGCGTGGCTCAAAATTTGGGTCACGAGTGGCCATGCTTTGCTGCAACCCGTCTCATGCAACTCGCCCTGGGCCAGGTACCGGCATGCAAATCGGCCGTTTTAACAACTTTGGCGATGACAGATTCCAGATGACAGGCCAAAGTGGAGGGCGTTTCGGCCGTGGAAGCCAGTGGCATGCTAATTATCCACCATTTCGTTGACCCAATAAATGAATCATCGCTCACGCGGAACCGGATTTCTCGACAATATCTTTCGCCCTGGATGTAGATCTACACTCTGATTCTGTCTTGCATATCGATACTTATTCAGGGCCCTCATCGGTTTACAGGCTACTTGCCACAGGAAGTGATAAGAGTATCTGTTTCATATTCTTTCTGTTTCTCTCTATATCTTTCTTTTTTGGCCCTCCTTCTTTTCTTCGGCTTACTTTTTCCGCCAGTTGGTATCAGTATACATGCATTGTTCTACAAGACAATCGTTTGCCTTGCAGACGATTAATATATCACTAGAGTACAGAAAAGATAAGGTGTGAGATGATATGCTGGAGCTTTGGTTTATCCAACAAGATGCGGAACTTTACCACCATACATCTATTTGTTTCCATTGTTTTATGTATTGTGCTGATCTTTTATTCATCATCCTTACCAAATATGAATTTAGTTGTATTATCATCTGCCAGGGTAACTCATCAGATAGAAAGGGATGGGGAGGAGTAAACAACAAATGCCTTAGTTTGCGCTAATATTTTCTTTTCAGGTTAATTGTAATCGTACTCCGTACATCACATCATCATCAAAATTTCCCTCTCGCTTCACACTACCTCACCGGCATTGTCTCGTTCCTTTTCCCATGGCTTCAACCTCTTGGGCTGTTCGCTTGAGGAATCATGACCCGTTAATACCGTGTCTGGTATTTGCTGAATCCCGGGGATCGGTTGACCGGTGGTGATGAGCTCAACTATGTGTGCAAAAGATGACGGATAGGTTGGCTCTTGTGCAGAGGTTCGAGTCGGATTTGAGAGCATGGTAGGTTTAGCAGCCTGGCAGGATGACTGTGCTGCTCCCGCGTTCTGTGCCAACCACACTTTAAATGCCGCAAAGTCAAGTGGTGGCGACAGATCTTCCTTCCTAGTAGGCATTGGATGTCAGTTTCGTATCAACATGATGCGGAAGGTAACATACCGCGAGAAGTAAAAGCATTTCGCCTGTAGTACTAAATCATCATCGCGATTGACCTCAGTCTCACTTGCGGGGACATCTGGGTGACCAAGTATAATAGAGAGACCGTTGGCAAATTCCGGGTCTGCATTAAATGGATATGATCCCAATCTCTCGAACAAGCTTGCTTGAGATGCTTGGGGTTGAACTTCAGTTGCTTGCTCCATGCTGTCTCTGCTTGTGTAATACCTTTATTTGGGGTAGAGAAGTTGCGCTAGAGATAAATCAAGAAGTGGGGCTTAGTGGATTGTATTCAGTATGCCCTATCGCTTTGTACGTCACATGGGAGATTACATTGCAATGAATTAACGCTCTATTGAATAGGACATATTTTAGTGTGCTCTTTGTTCGTTTTCACTAGAATATAATTGTCTACCCCTGGAGTACAATAATAAAAAATAAGAGGTCGGATATGGATTGGGCCCGAGGTCCGCGTATTGAATGACGTATGTACTTTTGGGGCATATGTAAATCTAACATTTTCCTGAGATATTAGACTTACATGGTAAATCTATAAGAATTATGATGTGAGATGCAATAAATATAACGCCGTCCATGCAGTGGCTTAACTCGAGAGAGAGAGGTCAAAGAAAAAAAAAAAAAAAAAAAAAAAAAAAAAAAAAAAA